TTGCTAGGCAACGTTAGTGTGCATAAAGCGGACCAACTGCATTTTTTTAAAATTATTATAAAAAATTCTGAGATAAATTAAAACTCACACGTTCAATTCCTATAACCTTGTTTTTGTCTCTCCCCTCTCCTATATTCTCTCCTCTTCACACCATGAAAACTTTGACAAAAAACTCATATTTTTAGAGCTAATAGGGATACTATCAGCTTGTTGTGGCTTTGTGGGCACTGGTGTACAATTATTTAGGCCTCTGAAGACCATATAAAGCACTTCTTGATTAATTTCAGTTGGAGGTGTGAGTCCTCGAGATTAAGGTGCAATTCTTTTTATAAGCAGAATATTTTCTCTCAAAATGATAATTATATCAACTTGATTAGTAGACCAATAAATTCACTTGATTATATAATAACATTATAAATATTTTTAATTAAAATATTAAATCATAAATCAAACTCTAATGAATAATTAAATTAATACCTATATGTAATAGTAGAGGTGGTAGAGTTGATTTCATATCAAGTTTCGATTGGACCAGGGTTGATCGACCTAGATCACTAAGTCAATATTAGTACCCAATAGTACAAACATAATGGCCACACTAAAGAATTAAAGGTTTAGGATGCAACGTACATAACTCATCACCAATTTATTCTCATCAAACCAAAGCCTTATATCATCAAACCGTCACAAACTTTACTAGCGGGCCAAATAATTAATATTGACCATGGTTGAAAAAATCGCTAGGCAATTCTCGTGCGCTCGGGGGCGTTTAGGGCGTCTAGACGGCGATTAATCGGCACCTAGGTGTTTGTGTATATTTTATTTTATTTTTTATTTTTTAAAAATTTGTTTACTTTTTTAAACTTGATAATTATAAATTATTTAATATTTTAATAGTTAATACTAAGATATTAAATATTAACCTAAAAAATATCTAGAGTTTGAACAGTTTATGATTATTTCGTTCAAAATGATGTCATTTTGAGTTAAATAATCGATTTAAAAAGGATGGAACAATAACTAATATGCCAACTGGGAGACTTAGTCGGTGCCTAGACGATCTAGTCGGCCACCTAGACGGCCAGCCGCGTAAACCACCGATTATGGTGATACGCTAGGCGGATGGCCAGCGCCTAGTCACCGATTAATCGGTGCCTAGGTGAGATTTTTGCAACTATAATATTGAAAATGAATTTTTCGGTGCCTAGGTGAGATTTTTGCAACTATAATATTGAAAAAAAATGAAAAAATTCATTATAAATATCCTATCTTTCTTACCGTTAAATTTAAAACATTATTTAAGATAAGTCAAACAACTCTGAACTCGTTTAATTAATAAAATTAAAGTAAATTAGTAGATTAATCATGCATGGTTAAGAAGCATTAAATGACAACCTTATAAATAAATAAAAAGAAAAGCTCAGTAGAATTGCCATGAAACATCGCAATTAAGAAGCATGATTCATAGTATGGCTGGCGGTTACTTTTATATTCTGCCATTAACACCGACTTCAATTCCATGGGAATATTATTATACTAAATAATTATTAAAATTATTTAATTACCAGTATGAACTCTGAACTCTGAAGTAGATCTACTCAAATTAAGAGCCCTCGGAAATAGAATATCAGAGTCAAGAGTTGTCTTTTCTGTAAAACAATATGTCGACTGTCGGTGACAAAACTGTCTCTCGCCTTAAACAAATGTTGGGAAACCATAATTGCTGTTAATGATGCACTAAGCAAAAGTAATTAGTAATCATAAAATAATAGGGGTGGGGTAAAAAGCTAAAGATAACGACACAATATATTTTTGGAATATATCTTTAAGCACCATTTTGACCTATTTTACGTACGATGTTGTTCTCTTTTTTTTTTTTTCTTTTTTTTTTTACTACTTTTAGTTTCCAATTTTTATTTGTTTCTGTTTTTAATTTTTGATTTTAAAAATGTTTTATGTTTAATTCTAAAACTCTAAAATACTTTTATTTTGAGAAAAATTCACCAATTTTCACTTGATTACTTTTAAGGGCATTTTGATAAGAGTAATACTATAAACTCTTCATGTGTTTTTTCTAAAAGCTTCCCTCTTAACGTGACATTATTTAATTGGTAGTTAAATTTATTTTTTTAATTAGTGTTGGGATAAGTCAGAGGAAATTTTAATTTTGGTCCTATGACTATAGGGGTTTTGTTAATTTCAGTCACTAACTTTTAAAAGTGTTAATTTAGTACCTTAACTATGCAATTTTTGTCAATTTTGGTCACTCCGGTCAAATTGCCGGCCAAATTTCGCTAGAAAATTTTAATTGTTAAAATAATGAGGGTATTTTGGTCATTTCACGTCTCTTTTCTTCTCCCACGGCGAGTCCATCCCTTCCTCTCCCGTTTTCGGCGAATGCAATGAACTAAGATGATGGGGAAATGAGGCTTGATATTCAAGATAGGGTTTACAACCAGTGGCTTGTGGTCCACTGGTATCGGCTTGCTCCCCTATGTGGGAGGTCTAGGTTTCAACCAAAATACCCTCATTATTTTAACTATTAAAATTTTCCAGCAAAATTTGACTGGCAATTTGGTCGGAGTGACCAAAATTGACAAAAATTGAATAGTTAAGGTACTAAATTGACATTTTTAAAAGTCAGGGACTGAAATTAACAAGACCCATATAGTCATATGACCAAAATTGAAATTTTCTCGGATAAGTCAATTCATTAGTCGATGAATGAAAGCCACCGGAGAAAATGAGGAGGAAAAAAAAAGCATTTTCCTTTTGATAATTTGAGACTAAAAAGAAACAAAATTAACTGACTAATAAAACCAAGTTAACCAGATGTCTCGAGTTTGAGTCTTAGGAATGCGACTATTTTTTTTTATGAAGACTAAATGACTGATGAGGAAAAATCTGTAATTACTATCGTAGAGTGTGCACGTGATAAATTATGTAATAAGAAATGTAGCTATTTTAAAACTTATAAGGGAGTGTTTTGCTATAAGGGAGTGTTTTATTATACCTTTTTGAAGTCTTACTGTACTTACGTGATTAGTTTCGATGTGTTCGTAATTGACTGATTGTGAAAACCTGTGATTAAATTAAACAAGAATTAAGTGATTAAATGCGAAAAAACTCTATTTTGTGTGTTGGACACTTCTAATTTAACTCATTTTGGCTAAATTCTTGCCCACAAATTTGTGTACCTTTTTAGTTAAATACAAATATCGTTCTTAGTAACCCTCCTGGATTTCCTAAGATATCGAATACCACTTGTTTCTTATACGTTATACCATTTTCAGTTAAACTCAAATTACTATTCGATCTTATCCATAACAAATTCATTATTAACGTGTAAGTTAAGGTTTATACAATTTTAATTTGGAAAGATGATATTTTTAATTCTTTTAAGTTGTTTGTCTCTTAATTATTTCCTATATACATATATACAATTTTGATCCCTAAATTCTTAACAAAGTAGTAACTTTAGTACAAAATTAATCTGACCAAATATTAAAATAGTAACATTAGTTGAGATCAATGTTGAAGGGAAAAAAAAACGCGGTAACATTTTAGTATTTTTTTTTTTTAACCTTTGAACTGCAAAAATTTGCAAAATTTTTACATTATAAGTGCACAAGTTCTCTACTAAATGTGCATAAATTTCATACTACAAGTACACAAAGTTATACTAGGAGTGCAAACAAGGACGGAGCCAGAAAAATACTTGAGCGGGGGCGAAGTTTAAATGACGGTTAGAAATATCAATTACGAAATATCTAACAGTCATAAGGTTAAAATACAAAATATATTATAATAGATTGCAATAGAATATTTTTGATAGATTAAACGATAGTTATAGTCGGAGCAAAAAATATACTTGAGTGAGGTGAAAATGTAAAAATATTTATGACAAAATATGAAACATAATCAATTCGATAAAATAATTTGAATAAAATGAAGTATAATATAAACGTGTATACTACATTACTACATTAATTAAATGATTCATAAAAATAAACTAAAAGAACATTTAATTTGTTAATTAAATGATTCATAAAAGTAAGCTAAAAAATATTTATCTTGAGAAGGAATGAGATATAAAATAAATAAGTGAAGATAAGGAAAAGTGTTTGTAATGAGATTTGAACCTATGACCATACACTTTTTTAAAAATTAAATTTAAAATTTAACCAACTAAGCTATTCTAACTATTAATACATTAAACATAAATATAAATTTTATATAACATTTAATGCTATATATGTCTATATATACATACATATATATAAAGGGGTGAGGTGGGGGGAGTGGGGGCAGCTGCCCCCACTGCCCCCATACTGCCTCCGTCTCTGAGTGCAAAGAGTAATAATTTTAAAGTGCATAATTTTGTTCTACATGATGTGCACAAATTTTGTACTACATGTGGATATGTTTTTTTTTCAATACTACAAATGCATAGAATAATATAAGTTAAAAAATATGGTGGCATTTTTATTTAAAAAAATTAACTAAGTGAACAATTTTTACAATACAAGTGGACAAATTCTCTTTTACAACTACATAAATTTCATACTACAAGTACAGAAAAATGTTCTCATTTTTTAGAGTCGTTGATTTGGTCATATCAACGGTCTCTAATGGTAAAAAACACATTCTCATTAATTTTAAGGCGACTGTATTTGCAAAACTAGAATATAAAACTTTTAATTAATTTAAAAGAGATCCAAAATTTAATACAATTAAAACAATATTTTGCATATATATACAATAAGAATTTGAATTGAAGTATACTACGTAGAACTCAATCATCTTTGATATATACAATAATATGAAGGGTGAAGTGACTTAAGTAGTTAAAATACTGCAACTTAAAGAAGAAAGTGGCCTCCAACCAATACCTCCCCAAAATTTCTTCCCCATTGGTCCACCTGGACCACCTGTTTTCCTTTTTTGCCCCCGCCCTCTATCCCTTCTCTCTGCTTTATAATCCCTTTCTTCTTCTCCCTTCTTTTTCTCAGGGGATAGCTCTACGCCGATCAGCTTTCCTCGCCTTTCTTCTCTTCTCTTAATACTTTCTTTCATCTTAAATTTCATCAATGGCGTTCCCGCCAGATACCAGTAAGAACTCGAAGCTTGAGCGGTATAATAGTTATATAAGGAGAGTGAATAGCTCGAAGCTCATTGCGGCTTCGTCGAAGTTGCTTTTTAGAGCTACTCTCATGGTGGCTTTGATTCTGATATTTTTCTTCACCATCAATTATCCGCCGCTTGCGGAGAGCTCCGGCGGGGGGCGCCGCCGTGCGCTTCATACGACGGGGCATAGTTTGCTGGCGGCGACGTTTTCCGGCGGGGCGGCGTGGGAGAAGCAGGTGCAGAGCTCCGCGACGCCGCGGCGGCAGAACGGGATGTCGGTGTTGGTGACCGGCGCGGCGGGGTTTGTTGGGTCCCATTGCTCGCTGGCGCTGAAGAAGCGCGGGGATGGGGTGTTGGGGCTGGATAATTTTAACGCGTATTATGATCCGTCGTTGAAACGCGCCCGCCAGAAGCTTCTGGAGAAGCACCAGATCTTCATCGTGGAGGGAGACCTCAACGACGCGCCGTTACTCTCCAAGCTTTTCGACATTGTCCCCTTCACGCACATCCTCCACCTCGCCGCACAAGCCGGCGTTCGTTACGCAATGCAGAATCCTCTCTCTTACGTCAGCTCCAACATCGCCGGATTCGTGAACCTTCTAGAAGTCGCCAAGAAGGCCGACCCCCAGCCCGCGATCGTCTGGGCGTCTTCGAGCTCCGTTTACGGGCTCAACACTAAAGTCCCGTTCTCGGAAAACCACCGCACCGATCAACCCGCCAGCCTCTACGCCGCCACCAAAAAAGCCGGCGAGGAAATCGCGCACACTTATAACCACATTTACGGCCTCTCCCTAACCGGGCTGAGATTCTTCACCGTCTACGGGCCCTGGGGCCGGCCCGACATGGCGTATTTCTTCTTCACCAAGGACATGCTCCAGGGGAAGCCGATCAACGTGTACGTCACGCAGGAGGACAAGGAGGTGGCGCGTGACTTCACGTACATCGACGACGTCGTGAAGGGGTGCGTGGGGGCGCTGGACACGGCGGAGAAGAGCACCGGCAGCGGCGGGAAGAAGAAAGGGCCGGCGCAGTTGAGGGTGTACAACCTGGGGAACACGTCGCCGGTGTCGGTGAGGAAGCTGGTGTCGATTCTTGAAAATCTGTTGAGCATCAAGGCTAAAAAGAACGTGGTCAAGATGCCCCGAAACGGCGACGTTCCGTTCACCCATGCTAACGTGAGCCTGGCGTACAAGGACTTCGGGTACAAACCCACCACGGATCTTTCATCCGGGTTAAGAAAATTCGTCAAGTGGTACGTTAGTTATTACGGGATACAATCAAGGGTAAAAACGGAATTACACCCTACCCATCAGTCCGATGATTAAGCTGTGGGGCCCAACAACAAGCGGTGCTGCCTTTCTGGCTTTCTTTCCTTTTTTTTTTTTATAACTTATTTTTCCCACTCAAATATAATATATTTATTTAAAATTACTGTTCATGTATTTTGAATCTTATAGGGATAGATAGAATTTTATGTACAAAAAGTAAAAAAAAAAAATGGCATATCATATAAAGTAAGAAATATGAGAAGGAAAGGGGGAGCAAGTGTAGATTTGAAAAGTGGAGTGGCAAATAATGTGAAAACACCTTAAATGCAGGGGTGTAATGGTAATTTCAATTATACATAAATTTCTCATCTAAATGTTTGTAAGTTTCCTTTTGGTACAACAATGATTCTTCTCCCAATGTATTGCTACTTCATTATTTTGAGTTGTTTAAATGGGTTTTGTTTTTTTCCCCTTATAGAATAGGTACTTTGTTATTTATTTATAAATGTTTTCTTGTGGGCAAATTTTTATATAATTTTTCCCTTTTGATTGCAACTTGCAAGTGGAGGCAATCACATCTTCACCTCACTTTTATAGATACCTTCAATGATTGAAGACAATGGTGTTCGAAATTGGTAATTTTGTCAACAAATTTGAATGGAACTTCTAACGTCTATTTACATATACCAATTTGTACACCGACAATAGCTGTAAGGGCATCCCAAGCCCTGAAATATTAGACTAATTGATTGAGGGTGATAGAGAGATAAAAAATAAACTAAGGTTATAGTAATTTTTATGGGCTCGTAGAAGAAAAAGAAGGAAAAAAAAAAAAAGAAAATGAGTTGTTGCACGTTGTGCGCACCAACAGTGCCCCAGCGCAGCGCATGCTACACGTCACAAGTTGTATGTTGAGCGTATCAAAGTGCTCGCAAACTAACGACCACTCTTATGGCACGTTTGGTTTGCAGATTGAATTTTGAGGTAATAGGAATACTATTACATAGGGAATGGAATATGTAAGGAATAGAATAGAAATTGTATTCTATTGTTTGGTTCAGTGAAGGAATAAACTGTAGGAATGTTATTCCCGTGTTTGGTTGGTTTAAGGAATAGAAATGCAATATATGTGTAAAAGACATAACTACCCTTATACAAAATAATAATAATAATAATAAGGCTGGCGATCATCTCCCTCGTCCGTCCAGAGCCTTCGTACGTTCGCCCCCAGGCCATCGCCGTTAGAATTGGAGTGATCGCACAACTCTGGAGGCCAATTGCAATTGTGTCCCAATTTCGTCAATGGAGGTCCCGGCGATCGCTCAAGCTGGCGGAGGCTCCAGTCGACCTCCTGGGATCATCGCGGAGGCCCAGCGAAGTGACCGACATGGCCGAATTGACAATCGGCCTCCGATTGCAACGTCAGGGGGTTCGAGCCTTGCATTGCCGATGGAGGCTTTGCCGGTGATGGCCAAGGGGTGACGCTATCAGGACAGGGTTGGCACAATTTGAAACCGTTTTCCAGAAGGACTCAACAAAATCAACGGTGGCCGGCGGCGGAATTCATTCTCTGACCATCGACGCAATGAATTATCTCACATCGATTGCCGATCATAACAACGTACTCTCCGAAATCCTCTCCAACACTCCTCCAGTCCCCTAACGATTGGCTACCGGAGTCATATTTCACAGTCTTCGACGCTGACGAGTCTCCAGTGCCGGCTATCTCTCTCGGTATGCCTGGCTGATCCTCCTAGTCCCCTGCAAACTCGACACCATAGCTGAGCACTACAAGGACGTCTCCATCACATATATCTTCTTAGTTGTATTGTTGGTGTATATACGTTGGTATTCTCTCTCTTTTCTCCTCTATTTAATAATGTTGCATTGGCGTTATGGAACAATGTCGCCAATCACAAGGACAACTTCCTTGGTTTGTATCCCAAAAAAGAAATTTCCATATTTTGAATCCCATGCAAAGAAGGTTCTCCGAGGAGTAAATGATTCTCGCGACGCCTTCCCAATACTCATTCTGACCGCTAATTCCGGTGGTCCAATTGGTGATCGGTCTGGGTCAGAGAACATACACGATTGGACCCAAGGTTTGGCCATGGTGGTAATAAAATATAAAATCTATTCCTGAGAACTCAGGAATAGGTTAATACCAGGGGGGCGCTAGTAATAGCTAATCCCCCTACAAGGGGAATAAGCCATTCCCAAGAACATTGTTCATGGGAATAAAAATTTGTACCAAACAAAGGAATAGACCTATTACTGGGAATGCTATGTCATTCCAGGCTTATTTTGCGAATCAAACGTGCCATTAACCTTTTTACTTTTTCTTTTCTTTTCTTTCTTTTTTCTTTTTCGGATCACCGATCACCAAAAGACGGTTTGATTGTTAGAGCATCCCTATGGTTATGGCCGGTTGAAATGCTTATGTGAAGGAGAGAGAGAGAGGAGAGATAAGGTATTGGGTTGTTGCAGGAGAACTTGGTTTTTAGAAGAAAAGTGGCCTCACTCAAAAAAAAAAAAAAAAAAACAAAAAAAAAACAAAAAAAAAAAAAAACAAAAGACTCCTCTGGTGCGCGTGAAGCACATAAGAAAGTGTCCAGTCGAGCGCTTGCACTGCACCTTCCTTCTCTTCTATTTTGCATCTTAAAATTTGTACAAAAATCAAGCTATTGAGGATGCTCTTAAGATTACTCTATTTTGACTTTCATTCATTGAATGTCTATTAATCGTACTCCTACCCCATAACTCCATAAGAATAATCTGTGATATTGCTCATCATATAATATATTATAATTAAAATTTAATATTAATGGAAAATTTGAAAATATAGAAATATTTTTTAAGTTTATAAATGGAAGAATTATTTGGAAAAGGAACTTATTATTGTCCATAACATTAAAAGACTCAAATATGTTTGAAACTAAAATTTCCTTTTCTTGAAAAAAGAATACCCCAAATGAGCATCTATTATTACAATTTTTATATATTAGTGTAGTCCTTAATCCTTATCCAAAATATGAAGTTGCTAGCAAGTATAAGTACGACGGTCTAGAACCTTTTGTGGTTGATGACACGTCTTGACATTGAGATGAAAGTGCCTTACAACTCTTTCTTAATTAATTATAATTTAATAATATATATATTTTTGAATGAATTTAATAATATATATAATTATAATATCATGAAGTGTATTCTATACTCTCGTAATCTTTTTATATGAGAATGATATTTTACTTACTCAGTCATTTCTGTTGAGACACTTGCAATATAATTTTGACAAAATATAAATTTATTTAGTTCAAAAAATTATTTTGTGCACTAATTTATTTTACCACTAATTTATGTCTATATAATAATAAAAAACCTTTAATTTATATTTTTTTAGTACTACCACAAAGAGTCAATATCGCTCTCACTAAAGCTCAAACTAATGATGAGAGAACCACTTGGTGTCATTAGACCACAAGGTAATTGGCCATTAATTTATATCTATATAACAATTAAAAATATAAAACTTAAAAACATATTTAGTCCATATATATTTTCATTTTAATAATGCCATTGTAAGTGCGCAAATTTCTTTTTGAGTTATTAGCCGAGTTCACAAGAACAACAATAGCAAAGTTAAACTATTATGAAATTTATATTTTAAATGAAGTTTGTATAAATTGATATTTTAAGTGGTTATTTGAAAATATTAATTTGAAAAGAGATCTATTTTTAATTTCAGTTCGGTCAAAGTGGATTCTAAATCTCTTAGTTATGATGATGAATTTAATATATTAGGAATAAGAGTTAAATAGGCCATCGAACTGCACATGATAATACAATTAGGTCACTGAACCCAAAAAATCAACAATTGAGTCCCTAAACTAACCAATTCCTAACAATTATTTCAATTTGAAGGTTTCCAACAGGTCGACAGGTCATCCTCCAAATTAATTATTTTTAAAAAAATAAAATTTAAAAATTAATTATTTAAATAAATAAAAAAAAAAAACAGAATCCGGCCGGAGACGAAGAAACTCTTGGTCTCCATGGCCAGAGACGAAGGCTTGAGACGAAGAAGATTCTTGGTCCTCCGGCTGGAATCTGTTTTTTTTTTTTTTTTTTTTTTTTTTTAAATTTTAATAATTAATTTTTAAATTTTATTTTTTAAAAATAATTAATTTGGGAGGATGACCTGTTAACCTGTTGGAAACCTACAAATTTGAAGAATTGTTTAAAATTGGTTAATTTAGGGACTCAATTGTTGATTTTTTAGGTTCAGTGACCTAATTACATTATTATGTGCAGTTCGATGGCTTATTTGACCCTTATTCCAATATATTATAAACACAAAATAAATAATATGTGAATGAAAAATTGATTCTCATAGTGCATTATACTGTGCGTAAAACAAGCCTTGGATTAATTTCATATTTTTGTATGCCATTTTACATGTTGCCATTTCAAATTAAATAATTAATTTACCAAACCACTTTTTATAAAAAAATAAAAATAAAAAAATTAACACTACATCCAAATCAAAATAGTTGACAGAATTTAGTATTAACTATCAACTAACATAATTCGTTATATGTTAATTGCCAAATATTTTCTATAATACTCAATAGCAATTGAACTGGCCTCTTGCATATATTAAAGAAGCTAATTAACTTTTATGCACAATAAAAAAAAATTAAAAATTTTGGATCTTCTTAGTTATAATATGCTTCAAATTCATAGCCATGTTAATTTATATTCCTATAAACATAATTGGTATTTTTTAAAATTATTCTTTAACTTTCGAATTTCTTCCTAACTAAAGTTCTCTCCGAAAAAATGACAAGATTAAAACGGTAAAACTATTTCTATTAGACCTCTACACATTTAAATCAAAATTTTTACAATTAAAGCATTACACCATACTATCATATTAATCATTCCAAGTGCAATTTATTTGAATAGTTATTTTATTTTATTATATTTTTAATAACTCAGATTTTTTTTTATTTCGTCGACTATATCATGGACTCTATATACCCACCTCCAAGTCCATGAAGAGATAAATCGAGCCAATCTAATTCCGAGGTTAAACACTAAATTGTACACTTTCTTAAACAAGGAGTCCAACCCAAACCCGAACTTCTCATCTAATATTTGTGACAATTAAGAATAGAACCTATCCGGTCGTTAAAAGCAATTTTTAAGTGAAACTTTTCATTCACAGAATCAATGTGTTAGAGGATTGAATGGTTATTTTGAAAACAACAAAAATAATGAAATGTTGTCTTAAACATCACCAAAATTCCCCATTTGCACAAACAACACAAAGTGTACACTTGAATTGAGTACTTTAGACGTACAAGTCCATTTTTACAAACACTTGATGCATGTGTCACTTTATATGTTGTCAACTAT